TGGTGTGTGCAATGACCCCCAGCCAGAGCCACAAAACAAAGCCAGGAGAGGAAAAGCTGCAAACTTCCTAAGCTTTGTCTTATATACAGTGAAATCAGCCACAGAACTGTGGGCACTAGGAAGGAAATTACAAACTCCATTACAGGATATTCCTTTAAAATATTCCTTGCAGTGAGTAGTCCAAATTTATGCTTTTAATAATGTTGCTGTGCCAACATCTGCTTTCTTGTCTACTAAGTACTAACCTCACACTTGTTATCCCATGAAAACAGGATAAAATTACTTTCTTATCAAGATTTGCTGCCCCGTGACCCCGCTCCCCTGTTTGCAGTTTTATAAGAGTTTAATTGTTTCCTCTACACAGTGAGGGATGGAACAACAAGGTAGGATTTGTGATCAAGGTGTAAATGTCTCTTGTATCTTACTGCAAAGTGGCAGAGTCACAGAACTTTCAGTCTTTTGCTGTGTGGCTGACTAGGAAGAAGAGTTGCAACCAAGACAAAGAAAAAATACAAAACTTGGTGTAAGGCATCAGCAAACCGAGCAGATGTGCAGCACGAAGCAGACATCTGCTTACAAATACTGGGAGATGTAAATGCAAATGAAAGGAATTAAAAAATGACCTCTAATGCAGTAATAAACTAATCTTTTCCCTAAATGACTTCCTTCTGTGGACTCTGAAGCTACAGCCATGTGCCCTTTCACAGCTGCCTTGCTGTAGATTACTAATCTTTTGTATCTGCAAGCAGAATGTTCCTCAACTCCTTTGTTTGAAATACTCATGCCAGACACTGAACTGGAAACTCTTAGGTGTTAATTCTGTTCACACAGTGATTTTTGACTACCTACTTTCTATTGCCATGCAGCAGGCAAGTTCCCTGCAAATGTGTTTAGTCTGAGTTTTATACTCCACTAACAATAGGCTAATGTTTGGATGGGTTTCATAGTCATAAAAACATTTTAATATGGGTTTGGATTTAAGTGTGTCCCTGTTACAGATTTAGTAGCATCTCAAGCTCTCCTGACAGAGTACATGCTTGCATGAAAATGGTGCTGCTGGAACAGCTGAATTGTGCCCTCACCGAGGATTATTCTGATGCAGTCTGTGCTGGATGTTGCAGTGTTTGTAATCAACAAGTACAAGGATGGAAAAAACATGAGGAAGTCATAAAGCAACATGAGAATGTGCTCAGCATCAGCTTCTAGGTCCTTTGAGAGTTTTTGGCCAAGCTTCTGAGATGGAGAGTTGGAAATCAATAGTGCATTTGTCTCTTATTTTTCCTCATTTGTTTCTCTTTAGCACATCCCAGCATACCTATACTCCCAATCCCACATCTTTTTCTGAAACTCTGTGTAACAAATTGTGCACTGCAGAGCTCTGAGCTTTGCTGTGGGATTAATCCCCATGGAGGGGATGGTCTGCACACACACAAATCAGAGGGGCCCTTTGAGAGCATCTGGGAGGCTGCGAGTGGCAGGATCTGGCAGCATTTGGGTTCATCCTGTAGTCCCTGACCACATCCAGACAAAAAGCAAACAAACCAACAAAATAAACGTGCCACTGAGCCAGCCCCTGTGCCCGAGCTGGGCCACCAGCAGCAGCGGGAATTTCTGTGGTCCTTGTGTGGCTCACCTCAAGTGACACATGGAGAAACACCACACGGTCCTGCTGGAGCCTCACAGCCTGAAAACCTTCCTGCACTGCCTCATTATCTGCCTAAACCCTCTCCAGGTTCTTTGCTGCTTTGGGGTTTTTTGCTCTTTTTAAATTTTTTTTTTTTTGCAGATGATTTACACGTCCTTGATCTGAGGTAAATGCACAGATTCAGTAGAAACTACTGAATTGCAGGAGCTGGGAATCTGGCCTCTCCGCTTCCAGTTTTAGTGTGCAGCCTGAGTCAATGAAAGGTCCACTTGTAAGCCCTTAAATATGACTCTTTTCTTTGTTTGTGAAGCTACAGATTCAAAAACTAACTGTTGGAATACAGATGTGCAAACCTCTCTGCTTGCCCAGCTGAGGAGAAATCTAATTATATTTGTTCTCTGCTGTCTTCCACAAATATACTGAAAAATTCAGATACACTAACTTGCATACCTACTAACTGAGATTCAGCAAGATGATTTTCTCCATTCTGTGATATCATTTTGGGTATTGGACATGTAGAGTTAGATTTATATGGTGAAGAGGCACATATGGGACTTGTGTAAGAGTACTCATCATTCTTCATGCAGGATGAAAGGTTGTGCAGTGCTTATTTAGAAGAAAGCTGGGTCCCTTTTGAGTCAAATGTGACTGTTCCATTTGCTTTTACATTTTGTTTACCACCAGCAGTTACAGAGTTTGATTTTCAAAAGGCTTTAGAGTTGCCTGATTTTATTGTTTAGTTTTGCCACTGAAATACTGACAGAGTTTGGGTAAATCAGTACTCTTTTCTTGTGGTTGTTTCAATTCTCTTTGTTATGATTTTGAAAAGCAGAAAACTTTTTAGTCTTTCATAGCTGATTGTAAACTTCAATGTCCTTTCTTATGATATAAACACTTTTTATCTGAATTATCCTGGCCATATTCTTACTTTCGGTCCAAACCAAATGTAACATGACCTAGTATAAACCTGCCTTGCATAAGGAAATACAATCTAATATTTGCCTCTAGGTAAGATCAGGCACATGGACAATTGATACAGACCAAGTGACATGTGGTATCTTGTTAAACAGTCATGTTAAATTTTGTTCATGTTATGTGACAGCCAACAGAGTAAACTCCTTCCCTGCAATGATACAGCACCATGGGAAAGGTTTGGAATCAGGAAATGTGTTGCCTCTGCAAGGCACTGGTTTGGATGCCTCTTGAGGCCAACTTCCATCTCAGCTCCTTTGATCTGATTCTGTGTGAAGATTTGCCTGAGTTTTGACATGCTGAACAAGATCAGCAGGGCCAAAATGTAGCTGCTAATATGATAATTAATATTATTAATAATTGTAATAATAGCAATGATAATAATTATTATTTTGGAAATTGGAAAGATGCTTCTTGCGGGAAACAAAGCTGCTTTTCTCCATTTGGTCTCAGTCCATAACCTGGAGTGCCCAACCATAAGAAAAGAGTAGCTGCAGGTTTATTTATGGCCTTTTCTAGGTTAAGGGGTGTCAGATAGAGACGTTTTTCCTCTAAAACCCCCAAGCCACACTGTGTTCCCCAGAGGTTCATGTAGCTGGATAAAGCCACTCCACCAAGCACTGTACAAGTCAAGCCTTCCCCATCTCCCTCTCAGCCAGCAGAGATTGATAAAAGTGGCATTGTCATTTCAGGTCTGTTCTAACTTGTAATTGCTGATGATTATCAGTAAACAGCAGTGATAGACACAAAATACTTATGACTTATTTTATCTGGAGTTTATTTTCCTGGTGTACCCTTTGGAAGCTATCCTAAACAACTGGCTCCATGTGGAGAAAAAGTCACAAACCCTAAACAGACACAGAAAACCTTACATGCTGTAAATTGCATTCTTGATCCAGCTCTGGAGTTCAGTGCAAACTGTGCAGTTAATAAAGTAGACGGTAATATTCTTATATTCTTATTCTTAAAGCAGAAAATATATTTTTTTATGACTAGTAGAGTTTCAGCCTGAGCATTGCTGGACTCTTCTCAGAGTTGAGAGAAAATATGCTTAAAAACTTCTCAAAAGCCTGAGGATGAAAGACCTTTTAACATGTAATTCTGGTATCTTAGATTGCTTAAGGTAATTCTATAAAGTAGTGGTGGTTTTGCCTCATTTCTATTGGCTTTAAACTTCGGTACACTTAATATAAATGCTTTTTAAGAACAAGTTGGCTGTGTAAACCTAGAAAACAACTTTTGCGACTTGCCTAATATCTGTTGCTTTTAGTTTTTCTGTGAAATTTTGAAGCACAACTCCAAATTTCAGCCTCACATCCTGACATACAGAACACCATTAGAAGCTTCAAGTCAACACACGCAGTGTGTGTGTGAATGCAGCTCCATTCTTTCCAGCAGGATGACACTAATTGTCAGCAGGTCATTTTTTCAGTTTGGGTCCCCAAATCTAATCCTGATGAGCAGATCTGTGCTTTTGAAGAGCAGTGGGCTGAGTTTGCAGTTACTGTGTTCAGAGCACTGGTATGAAACTAAGCTGCTGCTTGGAGCATGTTCCATGGCCATGGAACATGTAAACCATGTAAACCATGCTGCCTCTTGGCCAATTCATTCACATGAGTCAAATACTACTCGGAAAGACTGAGTTTCAAAATGACATTTCTGGAATCAAGTACTGGTCAGGGTAATTCTGATTTACTGTTAACAAATCAGACTCCAATCCTTTAGCTGTAGAAAGACTTAAATGTCTATTTGACCTAAAAGTCTATATTGTATCTTTCTTATAAAATTCAAAATACATAACTTCAGATATTAATATTTTTGGTACATAGCACTTTTCATATCTGTCTTTGGCACTAATTCCCCCTGGTTTATTTTCCCTCATTGTATATAAATATTTCTTATGACTAAATTAGACTCAACAAAGCCCTGCAGAAAGCTCAAATTCTAAGAGTCTGAAATGCCTCTAAGCACAGAAGTTAAACTCCTGAATGAACAGATTTACAAGTTACTTTCACGGAGCCATACCCCTAATTTAATTTTTAAACTAAATCATTGCTTGCAGAGCCCTCTGTGTGTGTTCCAGTGAGACTGGAGCTGTTTCCAAGGGCTGTGCAGGGAATACCTCCCCTGCCTGCCCCTACCCCTCTCCCTCCCATACAGACACACAGAAAATTCTTTCCTAATGCAGTCAAACTCAGCCCATCGAAAACTTTTACTGCTTCTTTCCAGATCACAGCTGTAGTAGATGCCCTGTTGCAGCTTAAGAATTTCAAAGAAAGTTTTACAAACAGGTCAGAGTAACTATGTAACCCATGAGAGAGCGCAGAAACTGTTAAATTACAGGAAATGACTGGGAATAACTGTAACCAAACTTTCCCCTTACCTTCTTGAGCAAGTGCTACAAAAGGCAGGCTCCCGAGGACGAAGATGAAGAATGGAACTTTTATAAACATATTTGATCTGCTCAGGGAGTCGCTTTCCAATCCTGAAAACAGATGGATTCAAATTTAGATTATTTTCTGTAGAAGTAGTGGAGAATTGCGATGATAAAAAGAAATCACTGCAAAAAAATACTTTGGTATTCCAAATATTCCTCTAGGTACTGTAATGTAAAGAGAGGAGGTTTTCTCAGATGATAACTGAGCAGTTAAAGAAAACTGAGTGGAGTCAGAATTATTTTCTTTAGCCAAGGGATGGGAGCAGCCTAAGGTGGTCCTCAATGAGCAGCCAGGCCCGCCCTCCCCACGCTGTTTGGTCAGGACTAAAGTTATGATCTCAGCTCAGATTTAAAGTTACAGGACCTGTTGTGGCTTTCAGAAGACTTTTATTTAGCAAAGGGGGAAAAGGAATTTAGGCAAAATGAGGTGTTCATTCCCTCCCTTCTGCAAACTGTCTTTAAAAAAAATCCTTTTTTTTTTTTTTTTTTTTTTTATTAAAAGACACTTTTCTTGTTATTTCCAGCAGTGAACTGATGTTTTTCAGTTCAAAGTGAGCCCCCATGTTTATCTAAGCAAGTGTGGTACTGAATGTGCATTTAGGGATACTGAAATAGTTTTTAGGACAGGCTATTTAATTCTGCAGTAAATACTGCCTGAATTTTCCTGTGTGTCTGTGTCTCTCAGCTTGTGTCCTCAAGTGACATCCTGGCTGTGCTCGACCACTTCTCTCTGCCCGCAGTCAGAGAGCCAACACCACCCTGCAGAGAGAGGATTTCTCCTTTTCTTGTGCAGTATGAGGAGTGCAGCCCCTACAACAGTCTGTGCAAGACTTGTTTCTGTTTCCCTGTGTGTTTCTGGGCACCAGCTTTGCAGGGCAGGAGGGTGAGGTTGGATACCCCACCATGTGTGAGAGACACCTCTGCTCGCAGAATGGCTGAGGCACGAGCTGGGGCTGAGCAGGGCTTGGGGAGCAATGATTCCTATCAATCCTTTTCTGAATTTTGCCTCACCTTGAGCAAGGGATAATCTACTGAGTTACATATATTTAAGAGTGCAGTGAGTTTTAACCAGGGCTTATGTGTGAGCTAAGTGTCCCAGTGACAGAGCTGGGTGAGGAAATGTGGGACCTTCTCCCCCAGCTTCTGCAGGGCCAGGACACCAGGCTCCAGCACAGCAGCAGCATAGATTTGCTTCCTTTCTGCCCACAGCTGTAGGATAAGCTCTGCCAGAGGAGATTTGTGGCAGAGGTTTTGTCTTTTTCTAAACACACACACAAGCCCTACCCAGACAACCAAACAAAAAAAGAAAACCCTAAGCCAGGACTGGAATGTGAGTCAGAACTGTCATTAAAGACCCCACAACTCTTGGTGCTATAAAGGCCCAAAACAAGCAGTTTTGTAAACATAAAGCAGTGATATAAAAAGGGCTGCACATGGGGAATGCAACACCTTCCATAGGGATTTTCTTTCCTTCTGGAAGTGATAGGTGCCAAAGGAATTTGTCAGCTATCAATTATGGTGCTATAATTGTGTTATTTGTGATGAAAAGGAGTGTAGGATGAGAACAGTTGGTGCCAATGCAAAGAAACAACAGGCAATATTGGCTGATTGTCTTCAGGAAAATAGCAAAATAAATATTGCCATGTACTGCCACTAAATTTCAACATCTTAAAATCTGGGATTAATTATTTCTTGATAACTCTGCTTCAACTTGATTTAAAAGAATGTTTGCTTATTGGGGAAATGTTCCTCATAGGAAACTGAAGCTTGCTAGGGGAGTGTGTCCATTTTAATGGACCTTATTTTGAAAGACTGAAACAAATTCTTTTTTACCTTATCAGAATGGAATGTTTGGAATTCTGTATGTACCTTCAGAACAAAAAATTAATGCAGTACACCATGAAAGACAAACCAGAACAAACAGTGACTTTTAAATGTTAACATATTCTCATCAAGAATGAAAAGAAGGGATTTTTAGAATTCCATTCAATTTTCAAAACTATTCAGAAGACCTTTTGCTTTTATGATTATTAATATAAACAATTTTGTCTCATGTTTAGGAATAAGTCTTTCTAAAGGAGAAGCTTTTTGCTGATTTATATAAATTCTTGCTTTAAACTGTGCTGTATTCTGGGTATAGAGTTGAGGCACTTGAGCTTTCAGGAACTGGAGATATCCAGGTTTCAGTGGTTACTCCAACACTTTTATTATTCTTCCTAATAAGGAAGAATTTCTTCTATATGAACCTATTTCTCCTGCTCCAGCCTGTTCCTGAAAGGAAAATTCCCTAGATAAATTTATTGAACTATAAAGAATTTAATGAAATCATCTTCTATCATTGTATCATAGTGCAACAAAGAGCATGTGTGCCCACAACAAAACGTGCCTACAGATGAAAAAGAAGTTAGAGCAAAAGCTAGAAATGTCTTAGTAATTTTCATCTCGGGATGGAATTGTTCCTGAAGGACAGCAGGGGCAGGAACTTGCCTCCATGGGGACAACATGTTGCCATGCAAGGAGATTAAGGCTGGGAGACACTGCTGAGGCCTCTGATTGAAAACATCAACAAAATTGTTTCAGAGGAGCCAATATACCCTTGGGAGAGAGGATGGATCCGAGGAGATGAGAGAGCAGTTTTCCTCAGAGCTGTACCAGATTAAGGGGGTTTAATGAAACCTTGGATCACTGGTTTGTAATTCTGTCAAGCCAATAGGTTCTGTGACAATAGAGGAGTTATGTACAGGTTCTGATTTAACAATTCATCTGCATTTAAAGCAGCACCTGGTCCTGTGCCTGTGTCAGAACAGGAATGAGCACATACCTGAGTGTGTGTGTGCTGCCTGCAGTGGATCTGCACATGTGCTCAAATGCTGCCATGAAATGCAGGTTAGGTCTACGCAGGGATGTTGTAATTTGGTCTGGGTGTGTTATGACAAATCCCACAAATTGCCAGGATATGAGTGCATGGGTCACTCTTTCTTTTTTTTTTTTTTTTGCCAGGCAGGTCTGTGTTTTCAATTGCTGTGGTTTAGAGGAGGAGGTGGAAAGGGTCTCGAGTACACTCAGCACGTCTGTTTTCATTTCATAATCCCTTCTTTCCGTCTCATTGTACCAGGGGTTTGCAGAGTCTTGTGGGAGGCTTAGACTGTCTCTGGTTCAGTGAGAGCAAGGAATGAACCAGAGCTGGGGGAGTAGAGAAGTGGTGACTGTAACCTGCAATGCATTCTGCCTCACAGACAGAGCTGTTGTGGGAGGATGTTTTCCCCTGACTCAGTCAGTGTTGCTGTATGAACCCAGGGGTTGAACTCAATCAGAGACTCCCCCCATCACAAAAAGGTTTGATTTCATGTAAATAATCCAGGAGTTGAACTCAATCAGAGATTCCCCCCATCACAAGAAGGTTTGATTTCATGTAAATAACCCATAAGATTTATGGAACATGATCATCCACGCTCAGTTTAATGTCCAGTGTAGACCAAAGTTACACCCTAGGATGAATTCTCTCTAAACACACACTAGGAAGGGCACACAAATGTCTCTCCACAGAGGAGTATCCCAGCTACTCCTCCACAGTCCCACAAAGTCTCACAAGTGGGCAGGGGTTGTAGCATGGGGACACATTTTAATATCCTGGCTTCTGCCTGACTTCCTACAGAGCTTTTCATGAATGTGCAACTCCATGTGCTGCTAGAATTTCTCTTTCCATGGGACTATCTCTGTTACATTAGGCTGGAGACAGGCACACACACAGCAGGACTCACTGAGGATCATGTGACAAACAGCTCAGTTTATTGTTTGACACCCCCTTTTATAGGGGGTTCAAAATTCCTGCCCTTGGACACTGACTGGCCAAGGCCCCTGCACCACCCAGCTCCTTGGCCAGCAATATGTCTGCATTTAGGATTGAATGGGATTGGCTGGGGTGCCCTGTTTGACTTCAATCCCATCCTATCATTGCTCACTCAGGGTCTTGTTGACCTCTTTTCTATAACAAACTAAACTAGCTTTATTGGATTTTTTGTTATGGCCAGAATTATCTGTCTATTTACAGACCAGCTGTGCTGGGACGCATCTGATCCATCATCACTGGACAAGTGAAACCCTAGCTTACAACACCTTCAATCCATAGAAAGTAAACATGTATTTTCCCTTCCTATTCTTTTAGTAAAATCACTCAAAAAGTTTAATTTAAGCATTCCATTTGATGACATCCTTTACAAATCTGCTCTGTAACTCAAAAAAATACTGTCTCTTTCTGTTGCCAAATTTCCTGTCTCTGCACCCTGGGGGCAGCTGTGGGCCCTGCAATATTTGGTCAGAAGCATAAAAGCTGTTTTCTGCAAGCTTTATTAATTTTCAAGCCATTTCCTGTTTTCCCTTTGCAGCCAAACCCACCCCTTTTGGCAGGTACTGAAATACAGAAACAACCAATTCAGTCTGAAGAAAAGTTCAGTTTTTTGAGAGGGGAGGAGTCACCAGGTGATGGTTCCAATTTTTGTTACCTGTTTTCTGTGAGGCAGCTTTGCTTTCCTGTGAGGTGATCTTCCAGCAGATTATGTATGCTGTGTGGGATTGCAGACAGCTTTTGCAGAACTACAGATCCTTGCCTTCAGGAATGGCTTTTACCTTCCCTTAGTCCCAAACTGTTGGAGTTCAAATCCATCATCTCTTAAAGATGTGTCACTTGGTCATATCTTTTGGGTTTAAGTCACTTTGGGTTTAATTTCTGATTTCTGGAATGCAAGAGATGAGAAGGCCTAGTACCTCCAGCTGCTAAAATGGCATTCCTGAAGTGTTTCATTGGGCAGGTGGCAGGAAATGGGAGATGGAAGATGCTGCTTTCAGCCTGTCTGTGTTTCAGGCAGCCTTTCCTGCCTGACAGGGAGACCACTTGGGATGTGAAGTCAGACTTGTTAATAAAAGCATAAAAAGTAAAATGTGTCCCATAGGAAGAGATTGGTCTCAGTATTGACAAACTCAAATACACATATTATGCAGCTTTTTAAAGATAAGCAGCTGTAAATCAAACCCTGCTCCTTGACCATCTGTGCTCTTAACAGTATAATAAATGCACAGTGCTGGAAGCAGCCCAAGCTGTCAGATGAGGAGAAGAGAGACTGTGAATGAGAAAATGGCAATAATCCTTGAGCTTGGAGCCCTTAAGCTACAACAATGATATTTCTCACTCAGTTTTAGAGATGGGGCTGCATTTTCAGCTGATATAAATCAGTTTCATTAAAATCAATATATACCAGTGTTCACAAATC